GGGGCCTGAACTCTGGGTCTGGGCGCTCTCCCTCAGCTCTTCAGCTCAAGGTTAGCGCTCTACCACTTGAGCCACAGCACCACTTCCGGCTTTTCTCTTTTCTGTTTATGTGGTGCTGAGGAATTGAACTCACGGCCTCATGCATGCAAGGCAAGCACTCTACCCCTGAGCCACCTTCCCAGCCCCTTGCTATTTTTTAGTTTTACTTTTTGTTGTTTACTTTTTGTTTTGTGTTTTTTATTTATTATTTTTTGTCTAGAACTGGCCTCTGATCACCTTCTTCCCACTTATATCATTCCTGTACTGGGATTTTAGGCATATGCAATTCTGTACATGGCATATTAGAAGTAGCTAAATTTTTGCCTAGTCTGACTTGAACCCCATTCTCCCCAATACCTACCTTTTAAGCAGCTGGAATTACAGAAAAAAACCACCAGGCTCAGGTCTTTCAGAAAAATCCTAAACCTGCTTCATCAAAGATTGTATCATGAACATTCAAACATGTTTGTATGCCAGTTACATCCAAAGTCACTAATTTGACAATGTAGAAGTAAATCTCATCAAAATGTTCTTCTCAAAAGATGTGTAGCAGATGGGCACTGTTGTGGCTCATGCCTGTAATCCTAGCCATTCAGAAGGCTGAAATAAGGATCATGGTTCAAAACCAGCCTGAGCAGGAAAGTCTGTGAGATTCTTATCTCCAATAAACGACCAGAAAACCCGAAATGCCACTGCGGCTCAAGTGATAGGTAGAGCACTAGCCTTGAGCTAAAGAGCTTATAACAGTGCCCAGGTCTCATGGCCAATAAAAACAAACAAAATCAAACAAAACAAAACAAAAGATGTGTAATAATAAACAACAGCATTGAATGTAGCTGTATGTAATCAGAATTTCACAAGTCTTTTTAGTGAATATTGCTTTCTGGTGCCATAATTTAAGAAAAGAAACTGAATGCATAAGGGAGGTTCATAGTAAGTTATTAGTTTATTTAGCTGTAATATTAATATTTATGATAGGATAACCTTGAACCTGGTCCTAGCTTCAGTATCATTACAGAGGATAGAGAAGATTCATTTGTTGATCCAGTTAGTATTTAAAGTGTATGCAAATGCCAATATGTAATCATTTTTTTCAGTCATGTTAGAAAGGATGTAACAAGAGTTGTTCTTCAGTTCAGAAGTCACTCGAGGCCACAGTAGGGTGCCTTGTGATACAAGAATTACACAAGTCATTGAAGGAAGATGTTAGGAGTTTGGTGAACAAAGAGGAAGACACATTTATTTTTAAACATAAATTCACTTTTTAATGTATCTGAGCCAGCCTTTAATTTGTGAAAGCAGGTTTCTGAACTTTTGGGGATAAGAAAGATACTGTAGAATAACATCAGTTAAAGTAGATTTAAAACAATTCTCTGTAAATATATCTACACATATCCTTCAAAGATGCAGTCAGACCACTATATATGTATTCTTTAATACAGATGTGAGGTACATGCCAAAGAATCCCGGATTCTCTGAAGGCAGCAATGAGGAGGAAGACCACAGCTTGAGAACACCCTGAGAAAAAAATGTTAACAAGATTCCACCTCAGTACACAAACTAGGCACATTTAATGTAAGATATTCTGTTCAGGAAGCTGGAGGTCCTGAATTTAAACCTCATTATTACAGAAAGGAATATCAGAACGTACATATTTGAGAGAGTTGGAGGCATGGCTTAGTTGGCAGAGCATTCGCCAGTGAGTGGAAGTTTCAGATCAAAAGTTCAAATATTGGTCTCAGATGGAAATATGTGTGTATGTATATATGTATATACATGTATGTACATATATATTTGAAATGACATCCACTTCCATACCATAAATCCATTGAGACGTTGTATGTAACTAATCTCAGGTTTATAGGAATAATCTAGAATTTTAAGACTTTAAAAATTGTATGAGCTTATCAACATTAGCTTTATATCCTTCAACATCATCCAAGAAACAATGGTAAAATATTCATGCCAATGTTGCAAGCCTCAAAACAAGTAAACACAAATGCTCTTCTAAGGCCAACATTTTCCCTGCTTAGTGTGTTTTGGTTAAACAATCCTGTGTGACACCTTGTAGAGAAGTTTGTGTGGAATGTGTTTGTCAGGAATCTGCACATCTGTAGGGACATCCAAGCCCTGACAGACAGTCCACTAACAGTCAGTCACTTAAACAAAGTCACATATGCCAACTCTTCTACTCTATCCATTCACATGCTACATGTGTTGTCATAATTTATAAAAATTACTATGATTAGTAAAAATGAGCTAAGTACTTCAGACAATATCGTATCACACAATCCATGTTTAAATTTCTGTAACTGTGCCAAAGTTAGTTCAATTCATTTGAATCAAGAGTCAAAAACTGGTGGCGTTATAACTAAGTTTCTTTCCATCTAGGACTCTGTGTGTGTGTGTGTGTGTGTGTGTGTGTGTGTGTGTGTGCAAAACACCTG